GGGTGGAGGGTTGTGCACTAGCCCATCGAAATATCAGATGGCTATCTATTTAAGTTCCCAGCTCTGGCTTCTTTCTTCATGCTCCGTCGACCACTTAAGACGTAGCGTAAGCGCTCGCGCATTGTCGGAAGCGGCGGCGAAGGTAATTTCTCCTGACAGGTGGCGGGAGGTGGAAATCATTTGCGAGGGGTCTCGTGGACTGATTAGCAGGAGGCCTTGTTTCCAATGAGTCTCTGGCCCGTTCGGGCCTGTGGTGAAAGCAACGTGACCCGGCGATGCGAGAGCCCACTTGTCAGGTGTGATACTTGGTTCGGGAACTGGTTCTGATCTGCATGGGCAGAAGAAATTGTCAAACCAAATGAGAAAACCGTCTGGACCGTCCGTGCCAACGTTGAGTTCTGTTTCCCAGCTGGCTGTAAAAGCAAGGTCTTCTGCACGGGTTGAGTATAGGTCTAGAACTTTGAATGGGTATGCTCCACCACACAGTGACGATGCAGGCATGCCCTGTACACGAACTTCGTCGTAGATGCCCTCTTGCATCGCCTTCATGTCAAACCCATAGACATCACGCCAATAGGAAACATGATCTGACATGTATACCTCATCCTTTACGGGTGAGATCCACAGCGTGGCGGAGCTAGGAACTAGAAGACCATCAGACTTTAGATATTTGTCCCGTGCATACAGCACACTTGGTAACATTGCCTCGTAGAGTAAACAGTAGCCCATCCATTCACTAACAATAATATCGACCTCTTTGACGGGAAGTTCAACGTCTTCAATGCTGCCTCTCAAGCATGTTATAACATCTGCTAGGTTGTTATTGAACACGTTTTCTCGTGCCTTGTCAATAATGTCTGATCTGTCAACGGCTAGCACCTTTGCGGCGCCCGCCTTTGCGCAGAACATGCTTAGAATTCCTAGCCCGCATATCAGGATTACAGTTCAAGAGAAGAGCGCGCTCGAATATCCGACAGATTGAGGAACATACCTGTGCCACATCCAATATCGAGTACCACCTTGTCTTTAAATATGTGTTTGTTCTCATATATGAAGTCTCGGTAGGCATCCGTGCGCACGGCGTCCTTGAGCATTGTTTCATGTATCTCTGTGTGTTATGCGGTAAGGAATTAGCGGTTTAAGTAAACATATCGAATTATTCAGGTTTCATACCATGCGCTGCATACGATTCGAAGTAGTAGCCCGGGGAATCTTTTTCTTTCAGCTTTGCCGATGAACTGGGAATCTCATCGACCCCCCATCGACGGTCCAGCGTTTGTTCCACAGCTAGGCGGTAATTTGCAAAGCTTTCACGAATAGAATTCAATTCTGAATCGAGATCTCTGTTTTTTCTGTGCAAGTCCCTGGTTGACTCGTCCGTTGTGCCCGCGGTCTCTGCCTCGGTATCGCTTGACGATTGCAGCACTTCATCGAGAGAGAAAATAACAGCGTCGTTGTCGAGTACTGGCTTGAGGAAACGTTCATCCTGAATATCATCAAGGGAAATCTGTGAAGGTAAAGCAATGTCGCTCTTGACCTGAGAGCGGATGTAATTCACCAGCTTCAAAGCTCCAAGGAAATCCAATTGTAGGCGATGAATGTTCTGAACCAGGTCAAAATCATAGTGCTGCTTGCAATGCTGCAGCATTTCTGCAAGTGTGGCGAAGGTCTGCACATCAAAGAGTGATACAAATTCAACATTTTCCAGATCAGGCTCGACATCAAGCCAGTTGCTTTGCTCTGAGGTATCCGAGTCCGAGGAAGGCGATGCAGCACGCAGCTTGTCCATTATGCAACCAGAAAAGCGACTCAGGTTTGTAGGCTGCATAGACTCCTTTGCTCGATATTGAAAAGTGTTCTGGCAGTATGCTTTCTATAGAAAGCTATGTCATATGTGTTGCGGATGAACGATGTCTTTTATTTGTGCTTTTATGTGATGTTCCTAGTTGGCTTTTGTAACATTGTCCTAGGGTCTCCATGAGACGATTTTTTTTTTTTTGGCCCGGCCCCCATTATTTTGCAAGCAGACCAGCGTCTTGCCCATGCAACTTGGCCTATCTATACCTAGTAAGGCACCTTATCGCATCGGTTTGACAGACGGGACCCGCGCTCACCAATAGTAACGCCATGATGCAATTAGAGGGGTGGTCAATCAATATCGCTGTACGGAGTCGGTGGTACAGCTTTCCCATCAATCCACCTCGCCATCAGTGTCGCCTGGGCCGTCCTCTTCATCATCCTCGCCCTCGGACACATTCTCGCCAAGCTTACGAAGCCGTGTCTGTTGTAAAGGAGTTGTTAGCTAGAGCCGCTTCACTTGACCGGAAGATTTACCTTATAACGGGCGACTTTCTCCTCAAGGTCCCCAAATACTATGAGCAAGTCATCGAGCTCAGTCTGAGCTGTTCTCTTAGCATCTGATTCTGCTGACAGTGTTTTCTCAATCTGGCCCGTGAATGCATTCACACAAATTAGCCTCTACTCATCACTTGGTCATGTCTTCTGTCATCGCGAGCCAGACCATTGGGACGAGTAACTTACACGTTCAACTTTGCGCTGCAGCTCCTCGATCGTTGTCCTGGCTTTTTGAAGTTGCCCCTCTAAATCTGCATTCCGATTTTCTGCTTGTGTTTTCTGGTCAACCTCAAGCGCCAGCAGCCTGGAACTTTCCTCCTGGAGCTTTTGCAGTGCCAATGCTTTAGATTTATTGGCCTTGGTGCTTACATGTCAATATAGAGCATCCATTCGGCATGTTAGATGTAGTTGCCTCACCTTGATTAGATCAACTTCAAGCCGATTCATAGATGCCTTGAGGTCTGCGACCTCTGCATCAGCTCGTAACCTGACGCGTTCAACTTCTGAGTGTGCGGACTGTTGAGCCTGAAGTAGCTCATTCTGATATTTGGCCTCTCTTGCTGCAAGCTGCGCTTGAAATGACGCAATATGGCGCTCCTGATCGGCCACTTTTGCTGAATGTTCCTGGGCCACCTTTCTGCGGCCAGCGTTAGCATTGATGCATAGACATGAGTCCACCGTAGACGTACCGTAGCTGTTCTTTGTGAACACTCTCTGCATTATCAAAGGAGGCTTTGAGTTTAGATAACTCAATCGCGGCAGCTTCGCTGGATTGGAGATGTTCTGCCTCTCGGCTATGAAGAGCTTCCTCAAGTGATATTATTTTGGCTTTAGTTTCCTGTAGTGCACGATCCTTGTCTCCGACTTGGCTACGAAGAGAATCCACCAGCTCCCTGGATATCCCTTTCTGGACGCCGTTTGTCATGACAGAGATCTCGAGCTCTGGCGCCCTATCAATTGAGCGTCCAATCCGACTGTAGTTATCCTTAAAAAAGTCAACGAAGACCGAGTCAAAAAAGATATCTGGAAGGCTATTCCCTGAAGACGGGTGATGCTTCTGTGGCGTAACTTCGAAATCACGTATAAGAGGATGACTCCGGAGTCGGGTCAGTCGCTCCAAAAATTGCTCTCTATCCAATCTTTTTGAAAGAACAGAGTGAAAACTGGTCCTCGAAAGTGGCGAATCTTTCGTTGAAAATTCATAGACCACGCCGAGAAGGAATGCACAAAGGCCTTGAATGAGGACCCCCTCGGCAGGAACGGGATGTGATATGGCCTGTATCAAGCTTTGTACGATGCTTCCCTCAGCCAAAAAGTCGTTCACAGCATCGAGATCTTCAAAGGTCCAGCCCAGCAGCAGCATCAAGTATCCAACTGAAATTCTAGCATCGTCATTACGTGTGATACTGGTGATGAGATGAGCAGCAATCGTTTGTATACTCGTGACGACCTCCTCATCTTTAGACGAGTCTCCTTCTGTGACTTGAAGCAACCTTGCCTTTGCGGTAGGGTTATCATGTATTAAATGGAACGCGATAACGGAGGCAAACCATTGGCGGTAAGGATCACGGGCAAGTGCCGTAGCATCCG